ATAATAATTTATATACACCGTATTTGATCGCATGGTCCAACTTTCACAAAAAAACAGATGTGCGGCTTCCCCAAAAATATTGTGGAGCCCAATACTCTTGGTGAAGTACCGGCCTTCACTTTGGTGTATAGTCCAAGAGACCATACACCAGATGTCTAGCCCACGCTCTAAAGCCCAAACCGCACTCCACCACTTTAAAAGCTCGCCTGAAACGGGCCGCAATAATAAGACTCTGGACCAGTGGTTTAAAAATCGCCGAGTCGGTACTGAATTGGCTGATTCGAACCGAAAATCGGTCATCCCGTGTCGATTCTTTCGTAAAACCGGGAATCGCCCGATTCTAGAGAAGAATCGGCAATTCTGTGTAGTGAATCGTTGGATAACATCACGACTTGCCCGGATGACATTATGACTCTCCCAGTTGACATCATGACTCTCCCGGTTGACATCATGACTCATCCGGTGCACAACATGACGTCATGAGTCACTAGGGGGGTCATCCTGTGTCGATTCTTTCGTAAAACCAGGATTTGCCCGATTTTAGAGAAGAATCGGCGATTCTGTGCAGTGAATCGTTGGATGACATCATGACTCGCTCGGTTTACGCCATGACTCGTCCGGTGCACAACATGACGTCATGAGTCACAAGGGGTATTTTTGTAAATTTTTGAGTTAGGTACATCGTTGGATGACTTCATGACTCGCCTGGTTGACGTCATGACTCGTTTGACGTCATGACTCGTCGCTCGGTGCACAGCATGACATCATAGTCACAAGGGGCATTTTTGTAAATTTTTGAGTTACAATGGGCACCCATTGTAAAAAACACATGCTCCATCACAAACCCACGCTGCTACGTGCATTTCGCTCGTGACTAGCTTTGGTAGCAGAAGACTATTTATCCTTACCAAATTTATTATGTGGGTTCGATGTGGGACAATTGTGCCAAAGGTAATAGCTCAGAAAGAAATATGATATAATTATTGAGTGACCTATTTATATTACAACTTAATATTTGACGTTGTGGACGCGGGATCAATTCCTGCCCAGGTGTCATCATTCTTTCACAAACAAATTAAATTTTTCCTTTTTACAAAAAAAATAAATGTTTTTTATAAAAAAATATATATTTTTTGTTAAAAAAATATATAAGGTTCTTGTCAAAAACAAAAAAGGTAATACAACAAAAAAAAAATTCTTGTCAAAAAAAAAAGTTTACTGTAAAAAAATATAAAGTTCTTGTTAAAAAAAAAAAAAAAAGGTTATACAACAAGTATTCCTTGTAAAAAAAAAAAAAGTTCTTGTTAAAAAAAATATATATAATACGACAAGCATTTCTTGTAAATAAGTAAATAAAAAGTTATTGTCATAAGAAATAAAATGTTTTTGTCAAAAAAAAATATCAAGATAATACAACAAATATTTATTATAAAAAAATAAGATGTTGGATTTGTTATTATTTGTATAATAAAATAATTATAAAATGTAAACGAACAAGTTCAATTTCAGTAAATAATGTTCTCCACCAATTGGAGATTTTGGTGGCCATTTTTTATCGATTAAAATCATTCTTTATTATAGTCCATCTATGCTTATATATTTCATCCATGATAATTCGTGATTTTTTTTTTGTGTGATGTAAATTTAATAGTCAAAATAAGTTCATACCGAAAAAAAACTTTTCAATATTCACATATTGATGAAAACATGAAAATTAATAATGGAGTACCCCGATTTCTTATTGGATTATTAAAAAACGACATTTATAATGAATTTTAGTAAAGTTTTTTAGATTTTTTTAAAGCTTAATCCAACCGATTCGGTCGATTCACGATCTGGACCGTCAATTCACCGATCCGCATGGATTTTTGGGGTGCCCAATCCGACCATCGATCCATTTTTTAAATCATTGCTCTGGACCATGAGGGTTTCCTGCACCAGAGGATCCATAAGCTCCGGGACAAGATCCAACAGCAGAGGAGAGAGAACTCCGAGGCGGTGCCACGTCGCTCCTGAACGAGGGCCTCGTCGGGAAGGGCATCCAATCCACGGCTGTCGACGAGATCAACGAGCTCTCAAGGCTGATTGAACGGTGGAGCACGGCCGTAAGGGAGACGATCGCGGCCCTTCGATTGGAGGAGGCCACGGCCAACGAGAGGATATAAGCTGTCGGATCCGACATGCCGCATATCGACGACCACAATTTCTTCGATGAGATCTTGACCAGGCAGCGGCTTGAACGATTTTGCCCTTCGTTGTGGGGGTAACCGCATAAATTCCAGGAACAATGAGGGTAAATTTCGGAACAAAACAATGAACGATTTTCCTTTTCATTTTGTTTTCGGGGGTTCTGTAAATAAGGTGATGTTTGGTGTTTGATTTTTCAGTATGCGAAATTAGGTGATTCTATTTTTTCTTTTTTTTTTGTTTTTCTTTTTTTTTTTTTGTTGGGTTGATCATGAATAATACAATTGGCATCTTGGATTCTCGGTGGTCATAATATAAAGTTATAGCTGGGTAAAGAACAGTGTGCCTCTTTATGGGTTCTTGTGTTAATAATAATACTAATAATTGCAATAAAGTGAAGCTTATCCACTTGTAAAAGAACAGTGTACAGTGTGCCTTGATAGTATAAAATAAAGATCTCACGCATTGTGCCTTTAATAAATCTATCTCTGAGCATTGGGACTTTAATAAAATCTCTCTCCATTTCTCTCACTTTCTATGACTATTCGTGTGTTTCAACATGTGAAAATGGCCCATTAATTTGCAAGAGTACCAAAGTAGTTTCTCAAGGAATAAAACGATCTCTCTGCGGTGTTCGAAAAAGTGAACCGGCCGCAAAAACCAGACATGGGTAACCCGGCAGGTCCCCATAGGTCCAAAAAGTATTAAAAAATTAAAAATATGAAATAATATTTAAAATATAATTAAATAAAACAGATTCAAAGTTGAAAAGTAGTGGAAAAATAAATTTTAAAAAATCAATTTGTGTTTAGAAGTATTTTTGAATTTTTTTAATACAAGATGGGAGATGTAAAAAAAAATAAACATAGCCAAACAATTGTTACTCTTTACTAAAATGATAAATAAAAATAAAAAATAAAAAATACATTACAAACAAATCTTTTTTTAAAAAAAATTCATATTTTTTTAGATTTTTTTTTTTTAAATACCTAGGCAGACCACTTGGATTGGCCTTTGACCGACCCAATATGAGTTGCACCGCCTAGTTTACAAAACACTGCTCTACAATTTCTTAAAAGACAACAAGGGTTTCTCAAATGGCAAAAGACTTCACTCTATAGTTTATCATAGGTAAAGATCTCTCTCTCTCTACCCTAACTAACCCTATAGTTATTTACCCAAATATATATGGATTGTATACAACGAGACCATTTACCTTCTATACAAGGTGGTCACAATTTCATATACTATCTGATATGAAATTTGATAGCTTGGATGTGTCAAAAAGGTCGAATTTTTTTTTTTGAAGTTTGAACTTGGTCAATAGAATAATTGCAACCACCCAATTTCACATCGAATGGTCAAGATTAATGTTACCACCTTGTATCAAGAGGAAATAACCTCATTTATATATATATCCCACTGTAATTTATATAATGTAAAGATGTAAATCTCTATAATTTGTGAAATAACAAAAGGTACCTCACTCCTGTAATTTATGAAATAACAAAAGGTACCTCACTACTATAATTTCTGAAATAACAAAAGGTACTTCTCTAATCACAAAACATCTCTATGTAGTTTCCCATACCAAATCTCTCTCTCTAATCTCTCAAATGACAAGATCTCTATATAGTTTCTTAGATCACACAAAGCATTTCTCAAATGACAAAAGAACTCTCTATAGTTTCTCAAATGACGAAAAGGAATTTCTTAAATGATAAAGATCTCTGTATTAATATTCAAATCTCCCTCTCTCTCTATATAGTTTCACTCTTATGTACTCAAACGCAAAGATGTCCTTCCCCTCTCATGCAAAAATCTTTCTCGCTTGTATGTTTAACGTGCGTTAAAATCATCTCCGAGGTCGTACCCCATTCGATGAAGCTCCAGACACAGACAATCTTTGATTATAAGGACGATGACTATCTCCATTCAGTACATTGTACAAAACTTTTGGCCTATTCTTAAAAAAATTTAAAATATTGACCAACCCTTTATTATTCTTGTCCCAAGATTCAGCATTCTACCCTGATTTATCCTGTTTCTGATTTCACCAACATCATCCCTCACCCTCATCGATAATTCCACAAAAAAAAAATTACCACATTCCTTATATATCAAGTTTTGGACTTTCTCTAACAACTTTTTTTTAAAAAATAAAATAAAAAAAAGAGAAAAAAAAGGAAAAAAAAAAGAACCATAAAATAATACAATACTCGGGTGTGTCCAAATGGACTCACCCGAAGCATCCCCTCTCGGTAAAATCATCGCTCTCTCTCTCTCAGCCAATATAAATCATACTTTGCAAATCTAGACCAAATTGGAGATTCGACCTCAATCTAGTCCAATGTAAAAATTGATTTTTGCCGAACACAATATATAAATATATTTGAGTGAGTTTGGTTGGCTATTTTGTATGAATGAAGGTGTGCAGATTTTTTGATACATTTTTGTAATTTTAAATTATTATATCTATTTTCTTTTCTTTTTTCTAAAATCCAGTCCACCCTATTCTACCACGGAAACCACTTTTGACTAGGCCAAATTTCTTAGTTCGATACTCGTAATAAAGTTGTTATCTCTTTTACAAAAGACTCTCTCTATCCCTCCCTCCATCCCTCTCTCTCTCCACTGCAGCTTTCCCTCTCTCTCTCTCTAATGCAGCTTCGTAATAAAAATAAATGTGCGAGGCCTTCCCCAAATTCATAATTAATGGATGCAAATCCGTAGACATTAATCTCACAGAATCGCAAAAGATAGGCAAAATTTAAAAAAAATGAATAAATAAATGAAAATCATCCACCGAAAGAGATAATTTTCAAAGAGAAAATTTAATTGCAAAATTTTTAGGCCACCCTTTAGTCTATAGCATGGGAAGCCAAAACCCAAAATAGTAATAATAAAGAGGTACAAAAAGAAAAGAAAAAAAAGAAAAAAAAAAGCAAACAACGAGGGAGGGAGAAGCAAAGAGTGAACCCATTTAAATAAACTTCGATTTTTCTTTTTCTTTTGTCTAATTCATTTCATCAAATTTCACCATTTTAATGGGGATACCATCTAAGCTTGTCTCCCTATACGGAGACTACCATCCAATAGAGACTCTGTCTCATCTCCATGATGCAGATGTATTTACAAATGTTGCATGTCGCCCATGCCATGGCACCATCATTCATGACTCACCATGCATACATAGCCTTGGCTTTGTATTATGGTGATGGAGCATGGACCACATGACCTGCACATCCTCATATGCGCATGCCATCACCTCACCATGTAGATCATTGTCATGCCTCCCACGCTCTGTAAAAACATGCACAAAAAAAGAGATCAAAAGATTGCAATTTGCACACAAGTTATTTGAATCTATCGCTGTCTCTCTCACACACACACACAGTACAATCAATTTCTCCACCACACACACACAGCAAGCAATTTCTCCCAAATAAAATTTGAAAGAGGAAGAGAGTTTTTGAAGCATTGAGGCACCTGTTTGGGTCTTCTTGTGCTTTGTAGGGGAGAGAAAAGTGCAGGCCTTTTTCAATGGAGATGTGATTGAGTGAACCCAAGAAGCCATGGTTTCTTTTGTTTGGCAGTCCTGCGAGTTTTTCAAGGTTTTATAGGTGAGTTGAGGAGGAACTAATTTATTACTTGTTTAAAACGGGGGGAGGGGGGCACCACTGCCAATGTTGCTGGTTTTAGAAAAATGTTAGGCCTACTTGAGAAAGTACTATGGTTGAGTAAATAAATTGCAAAATAATAAAAAATCACAACCCTTTTGACAAGCAAAATAATATTAGGACTCTCTCTCTCTTTATAGAACTATATAACCATTTCAAAAGCTCTAAATCATGAGTACTCTCTCTCTCTCTAGTTATAGAAGTAGACAACCATTTGAAAAGCTAAAAATGATGAGTACTCTCTCTCTCCTTGACACACACGGGTGGCTAAGCCTAATTATGTAGATGCATACACACAAAGACGGTGGCAACTTGGCTTTTTGTGAACACATTTTGCCTTGGTATACGGAGCCGTAGAGGTGGTTTCGTTTTTATCCGTGTTTCAAAAGCGGGATTGGAGGAGATAACTGGATTGGCGATTTGATTTAAAAATATAAATTAAGAGAAATTTTTTATATAGGTGCGAGGCTCTAAACAATCACATTAAGGAATACCTAAAAACTTTCACTAAAAGAGCTTGTTTTTATGCCCAGATATCTCCAAATTGATCATCTCGACTTCAAGATACATGGACATGAGAAAAACATGGATTTCAAATTTTGGAAATAGTGTATCTTATAATGCATTTTTAAACTATCAATTTTGAAGATTTTCAGGTTTTCATAGATCTGCTCGATCTCTACTATTTTTGAAGCTTTGATTTTTATAATTACAGATACAAATATATTTTAAGGCTATCACAAATATTTTCAATATTAAAAGCATATTTCTCAACACTGTTTGAAGGTGCGCTTTACTTTGATTGTTTAGAGCCTTGGCTTTATATAAACCATACTCTAAATTAAAATAGGAGTTTATAGGCTGGGGATTAGAGATCTAATGAGCCAGCTGACTCATACTGTGCAATGCATACCCCCACTTAAGCATATCTTGATAAAGGATTTTTATTCTATAATGTGAGGGATTCATGATCTAGGTTAAGATGATCATAAATAAGAAAATAAAAGAAAAATTTCAATATATAAAATTTAAATTGCTTACAGGAAATTTCTACTATATCTAAATTCATTTTAGCCCTGTGAGTTGTTTACAACATCCATTTTAGAGATGGACGTTACTGAATCAGTGAGCTCTTGCACCCGCTGACTCATGAATGACTTTTTTTTTTTTGGAGATAAACAAATAAGACATTAAATAAACTTTTAAAAATAAAAAAATATATACGGGACCCTTTGGTGAGAATAGGATTGAGAACCATATCATCTTAGAACCAATGCAGTTCCATTCTATTCCTATCCAAAAGGACAACTTAAATTGGAAATCGCCAGGTTTCAAAACACTAATTTTGATGGTAATGAAAAGATTTAGATGGCTTAACACGATCTTAAGAAAGTTTATGTCCGTCTAAAGAAAATTTAATTACTAATACCAAATAATTTAACCTGCTTTTCCTCCTACCATTTCATGAGTTTCAAGTCAAGTGATTTTCAAATTTGGAAAACTAAATTTTAAAAAAAAAATTAGAAAAACGGAAAAGGGGGAATAAAAGGACTTGTCCCTCTTAAAGAGGCAAGATCCGTAGGGGAAGGGATGAGAAATGGGTACCTCTTGTTTTAGGCCCCAAAAGCTGCACATGTGTGACATGGCCACACTTCCTTAATACTACTAAGTAACTACTTCATTTTTACCTTTTGTTATCATTTTTTAAAGTTGAATTATTATTATCAAATACTTGTTTTTTATTTTAACATAAGTTATTCAATATATGGATAATATGTCATATTTTTCTATATTTTAGAGTTATTTTGCTGAAGATATTCATTTTGAATTTTTCTTTTATTTTCCCCAGGATCTCTTCATGATTGATTAGAAACCGGATATGAGTTAAATGTCAAATGAAGGGCAAGACGAACTTGGCTGAATTTTTAACTGCCAACAATCTCTATCTTATGCACATGAGGGGCTTGAATTATTTTGAATTTTGATATGAGAGAGAGTTATTAATTTGACGAATTTTTGGGTTGGAGAGTGAGTGTGAACTTAATCGATTGCATCCGAGTTCATCATTTTTAGTTGTCATGTGGTGAAATCTACGAACTTAGGGTGCGTGACAAAGTTGAAATTTTGTTTTCAAGTTTTTAGCCTTGTCAATAGGACGTGCTAGTTTCCTGATTGCATTTATTGCACAATTTGATTGTAACGGGTTTTTTTGTGTCAAAACTCAAAAGTAAGTGGCCTTCATTCATTCATATATATATATATATATATATATAAAATCAAGTCAAATCAAATGTATGTACGTGTGTGAGAGAGATAAAAAAGTAGGAGTTACACCAATTCAAAGAACTTTAGAATTTTGTGTGCGTGAAAAAGATGCAATGGAGAGAGAGGGAGGGGAGAGAGTAAGTTGGAGAGAGAAAAGAGAATGTTTTGTTACTATTTTACTCAGAAGTTCAGTGCATGCAACGTCTTTGCAAAAAGCTTTTAGCGGCTTCTTTTACTGCTCCCAAAACCATGGCAGCATTTATCTACAAAAACCAAGTCTAAAATTATAATCAAAAGAATCAACCTTAGCCACATTTACACAACGGCCCATCATTCGATGTGCCTCCCCTTGTTAATATACATCCCCCCAAAAGTGCCAAATAGAACAATAGAAACTTAACAAAACAAATATTTTATTTAACTTGAGTAAAATATTATTTTCTCATTAAAAATAAAAATAAAATAAAAATAATTTATCTATTTTTACTAATGAGGAAAATAAAAAAATGATTCATTCAAGTTAGGTTTTCTTGGGGAACGCAGCAATCATGTGATGGTGAACTTTAGGATTACGTCTCTCACATTTTCGATGAAAAAAGAAATGTGGCTTCTGCAAGTGAAACGGTTGTGCTGTCTCCTCCCTCTCTCTAAGCTCTTAGACGAAGTGCAAAGAAAGGCTACGGAAGCTTCAAAGGGTCGGTCATGTGATGTGCATTCTGTGTGAGTTTCTTCAAACCAAATTTAACTTTTTTTTCCCCTTAATAATTGCACGAGGGAGGGGGCCATGGCCATGGCCATGACGTTGGCCATACCACAAGTTCCAAAACTCGGGTGTTAAAGAATTCCATGAATGGGAGAAAAAAAATGAAAAGAGACCATGACGCTACAACAATTATTAAATGTGAAGATACTATCTTTCAATCGTGGCTCACCAATTTAACAAAATCTTTCTCCTCTCTCTCTCTCTCTCTCACATCAACAAGAGCTATTATTTCTTTCTAAACCGCCCGCCCGCCCGCCGGCCGGCCGGTAGTATCTTCGAGCCGGACGGGGTTCCCTACATTAAGAAAATCTCTCTCTTTCTCTCTCTTTCAGATCTCCCATACTCTCTTTCTCTCTCTAAAGTTGTATGAGAGAGCTGAGAGAACACCTCTCTCATCAAAAAAAGGGACCAAAATCCACAGTCAACCTCTCCCACCCACCTAAGACGCGTAAGATGAGAGAGTGGGGTAGGCTTCACACCTCTCGACAAATGAAATCTTTAGTTTTGTTTGAAAGCAAATGGAAAACCGTGTGTTCTTATTAGGGCTGGCGAGGCCAAGCTTGCCCCCGTCCCCCCGGACCCTAGTCCATATAGGGGTAGGCTTGGACCCAGCCCGTCCTAGACCCAGCCAAAGAGGCCCTTGCCCAGCCTCTAGCCTGAGTCCCAACCGGTTCAGGCCGGGACAAATAGAATAAAAGAAGGATAAGTGAATGGTGAGTCAGTCGACTCCTGACTCACACCATTCTTGTGCGGTATCCTTACTAAATATATCCCAAAGATGTATTTTTGGTCCAAAATTTCAGAGTTCAATGATTTCAACCATGACAATGATATAGATTTGAAATTTTTCTTTTTATAAAAATATAAATGCTATTTTTTTAATTCCTTTCTTCAGCATCCATTTTAACTTTTAGTGGATGTAACATATTTTGACATCAATCTTAGAGATGGACATTAGATAGCCAACAGAAGGGACCGCACGGTAATAGCTAAGTCGGCTGACTCATTTAAACCGCGTCCATAAAAGACACGAAAAAACTATAAAAAATGGTCAGACCAATCTAGTCATGGTCATGGTGCTAGCCCTACCCTCGGCCTTGGGCCACTTTTTATGGCCCAAGCCCTAGTGTTTAAGGCTAGCCTAACTAGGCTCGGCTAGGCCACATAGTACATATCTTAGTTTTCAAGTATTTTTCAAAGGATGATGATCATTGAAGAATAGGGTTGAGAACGGGTAGGATTGGGTCAGGATCCACCGGGATCCAGATATTAATCCAAAAAGAATATATGGGATTTGGATCCAAATCTAGATTTGATCGGATCCAAAAGAAATTATTTTATTTCTATAAAGTATTATATCACAAAAAATTACTATACACACACACATACTAGGTCGGATCCGAATGAAATCCACCTCTACCCAAATCCAATCTGAATTACTATTCCATATCCAAGTTTTAGATTTGCCTCTGACCCGTCAGATCCAAATCTTGGATCCGACCCACCGAATCCAAATCTTGGATCCATACCCGGATCCAAAATTCGAGTTTTAGACCCAAACCGGATAAATTCTCAACCCTACTAGAGAATACACCATCATAGCCACAAAAAGCACATCGCAGTCCATGGATACCGAATAAGGACCCAAAGAACATAACATACTACGAAAACCCATCAATTAGTCCGACATCGATCGGCTTAAGAAGTAATAATTTTGGCTATGTTTATTAAGCTGAAAAAGAATTTGGGAATGTTTATTATAATATTGTATAGTTTTATATGAGATAACCCAATTATCCTTAGCCATCAGATGTGGATTCAAGCAACTATGAATGTATCATTTACACACAAAGTAAAAAAAATAAAAGAAGAAGAAGAAAAAACTACACAAATATTCCTAGTCAATGGCAGTACTCTTAGCCCATGATACATCTCAAAAACCTCATTTCAAGTCTAACGAGATTGTGACTATTTAACATAAAACAAAGGACCTTATCACATTTTGAATTTTGTACCATTTAGTGCTATAATATGCCTT